GCATCTCTTTATTTATCTTTTAGGTCACTTGCAATCACCTCTTGTAGAAACTTGTTGAAGAATAAAGAGATTGGTTATTTTACCATGATTTTTTTGGTATCTGAGAAGATTCTTCCTTCCTCCTTCCCCCTCCCCCACCTTTGGAGTGGGCTCTATGATTTCATTATGTAAATAACTTCCAGTGAAGGAACTCCCTCTGTTAATGCAATTGAGCACAGCTTTGCAAGGTAAAGTCTTAAAAAGTTGTCTGGGGACCTAAGAGGTTAAATCAGGGGTGCAGAACCTGTGGCTTCAAGGCCGCATGTGGCCCTCTACGACCTCAAGCGCAGCCTTTTGACTAAATTCAAACTTTACAGAACAAATGTCCTTAATAAAAGGATCTGTTCTGTAAAATTTGGACTCAAGGACCTAGAAGGCCACGTGTGGCCTCAAGGCCACAGGTTCCCCACCCCTGGAAGGATACTTACCCAGGATCTCAAAGTCAGTGTCAGAAGCAAGATTTGAGCCCCCAACTTTCTAACTGGACATCAGATCTCTATCCACAAGCCTGTCTCTTTTCCTTAGGGATGTTAAAATTTAAGAAGTTCTGAACACTAAAAATTGTTTTTTGAAAGTAAACCAATGGCAAATATACAGACACTGGATTTCTTTTGGGAAACAAGAAAGAACTCTCAGAACAATGAGATAATATGTAAAGCACTTGTTATATAAATACTAGCTATTAAAATAAGGTGCAATACATTTTTTTGAAAAAGAAACTTTTTATGAATAAAAATAGGAAGACAATGTATGTGGTTACTTTAGGATTTTGAATCAGGCACTAAAAATGTTAGATTATAGGAAACTGGTAGTATGGTTTCACATCTGTCTACCAGCTCCCTGAAATCACTTCAGTAATGTTCCATATGACAGAATTAAGCTGAACAGGAGCCAATATGCAGAAAAGCCTGCAGGTGTAGAAATGACGCAGTTCAGTCCATCTGTCATTTTACTTTGTGTTTTCTGGGGGAGGTATGTTTCTTAATTCAAACAAAGGTGGCTAGAGAATAGTGAACTTTTTCTTTTCTTGTAGCCAGCTAAAATGGTCAGACTTCTCTAATGGTAAAAATTGTAAGAAAACAGAATAATCTGGATAGTAAAGCTAGATCAGGAAGCAGTGGTAAAATTGTTTTTTTTTCTTTATGTATTTTGTGAATCATGGATTGATCATGACATTTGCCTTCCCTGCTCATAAGCCTTCAGTGAGTTTCTATTGACTTTAGTATTAGACATGAATGTGTTAATTTAGTATTTAATGTCATTCGCAATCTGGCTCTGAGCCTCCATAATTCACATTTTTCTTCTCCGTGTGCTTTAATTTCAGCCAAACTGAATAACTAGTTATTTCCCTGTTTTGTCTTGCTCCTCTCCTGGCTTGCCCCAAATGCTTGGAACAAATTCTCTCTCCATGTCCATCCATCTTTTGAGGTCTTTCTCTTCCTTCAAGACCCAGATCAGGTATCACTCCATGAACCACTCCCTCTTTTCTCTGACTGAAAGTGATCTCTCCCTTTTCCTATGGCACTTGGCTTGAATCTCTCCTTTGCTACTATCACATTCTACCTTGAAGCTTGTCTCTTTGTATACATAAAATAAACTCTCTGTTCTTCAAAGTCAAAGATGACTTGATTTTTATCTTTGTTTCCCCAGTGCCTGGTACATACTGGATGTTTAATAATGTTTTTAAATAAATTTTATGGATATCTTTTTATAGCATTTAAATTTCTCCCTATATTTCTTCCCGTCACCCCTGTCAGAGAATTATCCCATATAACAAAAAATATTTTGCTTAATAATTTGTTGTTTGGATTGAATTAAATTTTAAAACATGTTAAATGTTACAATGAGGTCACAATGAAATGTTGAAGTGTAAAATATAGTCTGCCCTCAGATATTCAAAAGAAAACCTCCTCATGTCAATGAGTATTTGAAGACATTAAATTTACTTCTTCTCTTATGCAAGAATATGAAAGAAGTCTGCGTGCTATCCATGAGGCTATAAATGTAATAGATTATTGAGTTTTGACAATATGATAAGTCACGTAACAAAAACTTCAAGCAAAGCTACAAATATCCCAGCAATGCTGAAAACAGGATCCCCGGGGTAGCAAACAGAGCCCCTTTTCCAGTAATGATGAATGGGGTAAGGTGTAGCTGGAGCTCAAGGCACTGGGTGAGCAGGAGTCAAGAATTCATTTGAAAGGGGGAAAATAAGTGGATGGAGTTGGTACAAAATCAAGTGAGCTAGAGGCCTCAGGACATAGATCCAAAAATACAGCTTGTAGGCTTTAGATACCACCAAGACCTCTGTGGAACACACCTCCATCATTCATATCAGTCTACCTCCATGGATTAAGTAAATATCATCCAAGAAGGAAGCCAAGGTACATCCTGGATTATGAGAGGAACACAGGCTAAAAAGCAATCCCAATGATAATCAGTTCTCATTTATCCTTTGAGGAAATAGAAGGACGGTCCCTAGAGACATAAGGCTTCTTCCCAATATCATGTCATAGGACTCTGGACTAAAAATAAGGTAGCTCAGTCGGGGAAAGGAGTGACATAGAGGGAAAGTTATTAATTATTTTAGCATTTTGAATCAGGTAATAAAAATCTTTGGATTGTAGGAAAGTGGTAGACTGGTTATCAGTGGGGATGGGGAATAGTGGAACTTTAAAAGATCCTTCAATTTTAATTGATGTGATTTTGTGGTGCTTCCTTTTTAAGATAAAATTTGGGAAGTTTGTCAACTAATCCTTGATTTTTTTGAATGGTATATGGAGCAATGTGTCACTGCTGACTCCTCTGGGAAAATCACCTGCAGCTAGAAAAACAAAATCCATCATTGTGGTGGGAGTTGCTATTTTTCAGCCTACTACAATCACATTGCACCAAAAATCACAAAGGAACCTGAAAAACAGAATTTTGAAGCTAGTTGGATTGAATAATTCATTACCAGCTGGTTGTATTATGCTCTGAAATGATTAGATTTAGTTAGTAAATATTTGTCTTTTCCTAAGTATAGAGTATGCTTTTATGTGATGCCATGGAGTATAAGGCTATATGTTTGCACTAACTGAAAGAATAGTGCAGAACATGAATC